GGGGGGGCAGGATGACGCCTCCAGAATTGTAATAGCAGCGGCAGGAAGAGGTGGGGGTGGGGTGGCTGCGGTCCGGAGAAGCGTGCGCGTGGCGCCGGCGCGGTGGGGACACTCGGAATAAATTAAATTGAATCAAAAGGGGTTGGTGGCGGCGGCGCAGTGAGCCAAACAGCACCCGCTCACTCGGAATCATCGCTAATCATCACGATGTCTGTCTGTCTGTCTGTCTGTCTGTCTGTCTGTCTGTCTGTCTGTCTGTCTGTCTGTCTGTCCGTCTTTCTTTCATTTGGTGGACTCAGTCAAGGTCGACTTATATGAGGTTGTGAATGGGGGACTTTTTACTATCGGAGGATAAAGAACCCCCACCTGTTCGTTTTAGCGCACTCGTCCGTGTGTGTTTCAATGCCAGCGGGCCGGAGCACGCTACTGTAGGTGTTGCAGGGCGTCAGCACAGGCGGGAGGGGAGAGGGGTCTAATAAAAGCAGTTTCTGTTTACTCTTGTTAAGTTTTGGAGCTAGTTGTTTTTTCTAGTGTTTGAGTGGGTTATGAACTGTACGCAACTCAGCCCGGCTGCCTCGGTGGCCTCGGTGGCCGCCTCTCATTACTCGCGGTTAATTAGTTTGGGTTCGCTGGGGCGGTTAACGCGGCAGACGGCGCCAGGGCTGGGCGTAAACTTGTGCGGAGTGAATCGGAGCAAATATGTGTGCTTAACCAGGCAAGCGGTCGAGAGGTGGAAGGGAGGGGGGGGGCGAGGGGCGTCACTCGGGGAGTGGTGCGGGATGATTCCCATCTGCTTATTGCTGCCTAAAAAACGTGTGCGTGTGCGCGGGGAGCACGGCGGGGACACAGGGTAGGGCCGGCCGGTCCGCGACGGGTACCCGGCCCGGCCTCAACGGCGCGTTTTGCGCTCCCCCGCTGCGGACAATCGGCCGCACAGGGGTAAGGGCGGGTGAGGCGGGCAGGGGAGCGGCGCCGCGGGACGCCACCCCGGCCTGCTGCACAAAGCACACGAAGCAGTGGGTCTTCTGACAATGATCCTTCAGCAGGGTGGAGGGGTGGGGGCGAGGTGAGCCGACAGGGGAGCGTGGAGTACCTGTGCAGCAGCGCCTTCCGTATCCCAGAGGAGAGCCAGAGGACCACACCGGCACTCGTCGGGGTACTCTGATGTCACACGGCACGTACTCGTCGGGCACGCGGCCAACGCACGGCAGGCAAGGCACACGGTCGACGCGCTCGGGACGCACTCGATGACACGCACTCGACACGCACTCTGCACGTACTCGGCACGTACTCTGCAGGCACTCTTGCTGCAGGACCCCACAGGACACTGGGCTGGCCGCCTTTCACGCGACGACTGGTGAGCGCGAGGCGGTGCGGAGCGGCGTGTGCGGCTGTGTTGGTCCCTCCGCCCCGCCAGGCCCGCCGTGCCACGCCACGCCGCGCCATGCACGCTCAATTCCACGCGATCCGCGAATCGCCATGCGCGCGTTCCGCCGTGTTTTCGCGATGGGACCGGACTGGGGCCGGGTGGGCCGGGGGGCCAGGCGAGCGCCAACCAGCAGCGGGACCGCGGGGAACGTTCAGCCGTTCAAGCCGCACACTACCGGCGGGGAGAGCAATGCAAGCCGCACAACCGCAGGACTGTGGTGTGGATCCTCGCAGCTCGTTGTTCCGTGGAGGGGGGAGGGGGCTGCACCTCCTCGCCAGCACCCCTGGGGACATGGCGGCTGCGCACGGTATCCTTCCGTGGGGATATGGCAAC